TTCACAATATGAAATGTATTAAAGTCACAATATACTCTGTTCTACATGCAGCTCCTCTTGCTTAGAAATCTCTTCCCCTCACCCTTGACCAGATTATTTTCTACTCATCCAAGGTCTCTGCTTAAAGGCATCACTTCCTCAGAGAGCCTTCCCTGTCTACCCTGCATTAGGTCTCTGTGTTCTCTCCCAGTTTTCTTCTGTATCTCCTCAAAATTTGTAGTTACGTATTAAACTGTAACATACCAGTTCTATCTTCTTTTCTATTGTGTCTCAATATTTAGGATAGTGTTTGGCATACATTAGGTGCTCAATAAATATTTGGTGAATGAATGAGTGTATTCTAACTCTTTTTTTTTAATTTTTTAATGTCTATATATTTTTGAGAGAGAGAGAGAGAGAGAGAGAGCAGGGAAGGGCAGAGAGAGAGAGAGAGAGAGAGAGAGAGAGAGAGAGACAGAATCCAAAGCAGGCTCCAGGCTCTGGCCTGTCCACACAGAGCCTGATGTGGGGCTTGAACTTACAAACCATGAGATCATGACATGAGCCAAGGTCAGACACTTAATCAAGTGAGCCACCCAGGCGCCCCTAGTGTATGCTAACTTTTTATGACATTAAATCAAAGAAAGATAACTCAATGTTAAATTTTTACTCTGGTAAGTCTCCTCTGAAAGTTAAAAGTTTAACTCAGTCCCTTACTACTGCTTTTTTTTCAACTTTAGTCCACATTTCATACTTAAAAATTATGACACTATAGAACTTTGTAGGTAGGTCCTTTTTGAAAACATGATTCTCTGTTCATCAAAGGTTTGATCAAAGGTCTTTTGGAAAAACAGGTCAACCAGATCATTTTTTGACTGGCCACATGGGCAAAAACATTCGTGCACAAAGGTCACAAGAAATGTAAACATTATAAAGGCATAAGACCTACCACAGTCTCATTACTGCACTCCCTAATACTTCCTAGGACTATAATGTTGTCAAGATAATGTTTTGGAGAAAAAGTAAAAATTTAACTCAAAATGTGGGCATGTTTAACTGATAGCAGTGGTTTCCAGTTGGTTTGCCTTGAAGATTTGTTTTTTGTTTTTCCATTCCCTGATCTTAAGCCCCATTCTTACCATAGATCCATGAAAGCAGACACCAAACCCACAGTGTTGTTCATCTTACCCTTAGTGCCTGGCATAAAAAAGGTGCTCAATAAGCAGTCACTGAATAAATGAATGGATCCTACCTTAATCATGGTTCTCCTCACAGAGGCAAATCAAGGGTGATCAAAACAATAAATAAATAGAAACTTTTATATGAGCAAAGGAAGTTTGATATAAAATAAATAGTTCATTAATCCAGCATTACTTGATTACCAGTCATCATGAGTATTGTCTTTCTTTACTGCCATTTACAAGAACACCTTTGGAGCTCCCCTGTGTGAATCACCTTCAGAAGTTGTTTTTGAACTTCATTAAGGAAGACTGTCCTGATTGCTACTCGGGCCTGTTTACGGCCCCCTCCCCAAATGATTATCACATGTCCCAAACATCCACTTTATTCACCACGCTTGACTTCAAATAGTCCTTGATTGGGACACCTGGTTGGCTCAGTTGCGAGTCCAACTCTTGGTTTCAGCTTGGGTCATCATCTCAAAGTTTGGGCCCCACATTGGGCTCTGTGCTGACAGTGTGAAGCCTGCTTGGGATTCTCTCTCTCCCTCTCTCTCTCTGCCCTTCCCCCATTCATGCTATATGCCTCTCTCAAAATAAATAAAGAAACATTAAAAATTTTCAAATAGTCCTTGATAAATGTTGAAAATTACTTATTATAAAACAATTTTGGACATTTTTGAAATAAGATTAGGACCTTTCCCCATGCTATTGTTTGGATAGAAAAAACACACATTTGGATATCAAAAATGGTCATTGTTTAAGCTTTCACATAAAGTTTCATTCCTACAATATACACATAAAAAAAGTTTTCATTATAAATCTTAATGGCAAAGTCATAAGCAAATTTCCCTCTATTTGAGGGAAAAGAAATTTCCCTCTGTTTGCTTTGTTGGGAAGGGACCAGGGATTGGACAGGGTCCCAGTAGGGATTTACACTATATAACAACTTTTTCAATGTCGCTGATAGTTTCTGTTATTAAGAAATGCTCTTTAATATAATTATGATTATATTAGAGCTACTCTGATTTGTGTCGTTGTACAGAACTAGAACCAATGGATAGAAGTAACAAAAACACCAACTTTAACTCATTGTTAAAAGGACCAGCCAACCATTAGCAACATCCTACTTAAAATAAGTAACTGGCAGTTTCTTGAAATCTGATTCCTGCTTTCACCACAGGGGGTTTATAATAAATCCTAGAAATGATATTTGATCTCCTTGGTGATGGTGGTAAGGTGAGGGTAGTTACTGCAGCCTCTTGTGGGCTATTAAAATGCCAGGATTAGAACAAAAGGAGTTTGAAATATAATGCTATTGTTTAGGGAGGAATGTGTTCATCTAGTGGCCTAGTGGAATTTGAAGCAATTCAAACAGACATTATGGACTATGTTTTTGGGGGGAAAGGATGCCTAAAGGAGAGTGAGAAAGAAGGGTGAGAAAGGACAGCCAGGCAGAGAGGGAAAAACTCCCCCCTAGATAAACCTTTTTCATTTTGCTGGCTGTGTCCCATGCCTAAGAAAGCTTCCTGGCTGACTCTGATCTAATCTCACATTAAATATCACTGCTGTGTGCTGTGTGCACAGGTCAGGCATAGGTTTCTCCATTTCAAAAGCTCTGGATCAGTGTAATAATCCTTGGGGGTGGGGGTGGGGGGGTAAAGAGGCACTAAGACAGGAAAGAGAATGAGGATGAATCTAACCCTCCTTATTGGTACAAAGCTGGGGTGCCCATGGGAGCTGTTCTGATGAGCCCAAACAGGCCCACCTAGCTCAGTTAGAAAGGTTGTGTATGTATCAAACAACTACACAAGGGTATATGCATAAACACTCTCTGGCTGCTTGTTAGGAATGGTCTCTTTCACCTGAATCCAATTTTTCTAACTAGACTCAGTACACTCATTTACTCTGCCTTTCTCCTTCTGGCTGGGAAGTCCAGGTGTGGATGGCCAATTTCTCATTCTAGTTTCTGATTTCCACCTTGGGCTCTTTCAAGAGAAGCCAGAGATTAGTCACATGTTGCCAATAGCATAGTGTCCAAATGCCCAGGACCACCATAATCTAGCTCCAACCCAATTTTCTAGGCCAACAATTTCCCCTCTTCATGAATCTTCAATCATCCGATCTCCTAGACATACCCTGTGATGTTCAAAGCCTTGACTTTTTGCTCATGCCACTTGCCAGGGATGCCATACAGCTATTCTCTATATTATTGAAACTGTGAAGAAGGAGAGCTCTTGTGAGAGCCCAGGACCCAGACTGTCTTCGCACTTTACACAAAGCTCTGGCTCCCCTAGATTGGTCCACCTGGCTCATCAGAGCTCAGGTTATAGACCATGTCCACAGAAATATTTCTTTCAGTATAGTTGGGGTATGCATAATGCTTTACAAAAAAAAAATTCTGAAAAAGTCACCAATGTTTTAAAAGTAGACTATTACATGTAATGTTTTTTCACCTGGATTCCCAGCTTCATTTGAAATATCAGTAAATAAGGCATCTGAACTGGCCTTGCTGCAGAGCAAAAGTTGGCCAGCACTGAGCAGCAGCTGCTCTTTCGTGTAAGGCTTGTCTCTCCTATTTGCTGCATTTCCGGGCCCTCCTACAGTTCTTATACCCAGCTTCCTTTAGTCATTTAAACCACCTAACTGGATGCTATGGGCATTTGAGTTTGCACACCACCACCCCCTGCACCAAGAAACTGTCAAATCTAATCTTCTGGTACACATGGCTCTGTGAAGCTATTTTTCTTCCCAGGAAGAGCCATGAGACAGCAGAGCAGAAACAAGCTGGATATCCCAATTTGGCTTAGCCCATCTCTCAAACAAATGTCATCTCTTTCCTCCCATAGCAGAGAGGAATACAGGTCCTAGTACTTTGTGAATTTGCTCCAACTCTCTTTTCTCCTGGTTTGCAAGACAAAACTATTACTCTTCCTATGCCATCCACTATTTTAGCAAGCTTTTTACTTTAGAATAATTTTAGATCCACAGAAAGTTTGTTAAGATAATACAGATTGTTTTCATACACCCCAGACCAAATTTTCTGTTATTAACATCTTACATTATTAGTATGGTTCATTTGTGACAATTTTAATGTTTGTGACAATTAGTATGGTTCATTTGTGACAATTTGTAACAATGTTAATACATGATTTAAAAAAAAAATTTTTTAATGTTTGAGAGACAGAGCACCGGTGGGGGAGGGGAAGAGAGAGAGGGAGACACAGAATCAGAAGTAGGCTTCAGGCTCCAGGCTTCGGGCTCCAAGCTATCAGCACAGAGCCTTATGCAGGGCTTGAACCCACAAAATGCGAGATCATGACCTGAGCCGAAGTCGGACACTTAACTGACTGAGCCATCCAGGCGCCCCTATTCATACTTGAATATTAACTAAAGTCCATGCTTTATTCATATTCCTTTTTTGCCTAATAGCTTTTTTCTGTTCTCAAGATCCTAACCAGAATATTATGTTAAATTTAGTCATCATGTCTTCTTAACCTCTTCTTGGTTATGAGATCAAAGATTCAGGGAGCTCAGAGAATACCAAGCATGATAAATACCAAAAAAATCTACACACAGGCATATCATATCCAAACTGCAGAAAATCAAAGACAAAGAGTAAATCTTGGAAGAAGATAGAATGGGTGGGGGAACACTTTACCTTTAGAAGAACAAGGATAAGAATTACATTGACTTCATTTAAAATCACATAAACAAGATGAAAGTGTGGTGATACATTTAATTGAAGTGTTGAGCGAAAAACAATCACCATCCTAGAATTCTGTATCTAGCAAAACAGATATATTTTTATCCTTCAAAAGTGAAGGAGACATAAAGACTTACCTGATCAACAAAAACTGAGGGATTTTGTCGGCAGAAGATCTGCTTTGAAAGAACTGTTTCTTCAGAGAGAAGAAAAATGACAGTGTAGGCCAGAAACTTGGATCTACATAAAGAAAGGAAGAACATTCAAGAAGGAATAAATGAAGGTACAGTTTGCCCTTGAAACATGGTTTTGAACTACAAAGGTCCACTTATATGTGGATTATTTTCAAAAAATACCATACAGTACTGTAAATGTATTTTTTCTATGATTTTCTTAACAACATTCTCCTTTCTCTAGCTTAAACCACAGGCCCAAATTGATGCCACTTAAGTTAAGGCTTCAAGTCCATAAACCAAGACTAGCCTGGTCCCTACCCTAACTGTAATTTTAACCCCTCAGAAATGTAACCTTTAACCAGTCAACATGGGAATTTCCTGGTTAGCACTAGGAAATTTACTGATATGCCATTCCCCTTGAGAGGGCAACTTTGCCAAATAAAAAACAATAGATCCATTGCAAATAATTTCCTCTTTTCCACTCCTCTATCTTTAAAAACTTCTCCTTTTCTATAACCCTTTGGAGCTCCCCTCTACTTGCTAGATGGGATGATGCCTGATTCATGAATTGATTAATTTGATCTTTAAAATTTATTCAGCAGAATTTTTGTTATTTAGCATTACCTTATTATAATAATACAGTATATAATATATATGACATAAAAAATAAGTGTTCATTGGCTGTTTATGTTATTTCTGGTCAAGATCAGGCTACTTAACTACTTAATTGGTAGTTAATTTGGGGGGAAGTCAAAGTTATAAGCAGATTTCCAACTACATGGGGGTCAATGCCCTTAACCCCTGCATTGTTTAAGGGTCAACTCTACTACTATGGTGACTCTGGGAGGTAAGAGAGCTAAAGCACCAGAAGCTCACAGAAAGACTTTCCCTCCAGTATCATCCTAATGTGTCCCTCAGTGTGGATTAATTTCTTAAATTTTTTCATCTAAATTTGAGATTTAGGGATTATGTACAGTTATCAAAGTTGTTCTCTGCACTGTGCTTTCTTGGATGAAAGAATGTTGTTACTACCACAGTTCCAATCTCATGGATCAGAGCGATCACCATGAAGAATATGTTTGCAGTTATACCTGGCCCTATGCAGGCAAGCAGTATCACACTGTTGTCCCATTTCAGTTTGTTTGCCATACAAGTTTTATAAGCCCGAATTCTACAGGCATTCATATAATATAGGCTGTATAATACTATACAGCTCTACCCAATGCTGTATCTGTTCTAAACTGTTGATGGTGATGCTCTAGGCTAGGAATGCCTGAGGCACTCGCCTGGACCTGTATTACTCCTCGTGAGCCCCACAGACATTTTCCCCAGTGGAGCCAATGTTGTGGCTGGACCAACCCTTGAGATTCTTATGATTGAAAGACACACATCAGCAAAAGCCTTCACGGAACTTTGAGGAAGATTTTGTAGCTACAAGTCCTGGAGGGTACAGCACACCCAAAGGCCAAACCAAGATCATGGGTAGAGAAAGAGAGCATGGATCTGAGGCCTTTATTAGAGTCTGAGTGTAGAATGTCTAGGGTGTCATGGGTTCATTGGCTAATTTAAAGCATTAAGAGCATAAGAGCAGGAATTAGGATGTTGGACAGGAGACTCACAAAGTCAGTTATCTAGGTGAGCCAGGACTTTCTGTAACAGGGAACTTCATGGGTGTGTGGGGAGGGGAGCCCACTCCCTTGTCTGGTTGTTTTGCTGGTAACTGTGTCATACAGCTGACAACATGTTTATGCAAGACAGATATCCTTTGATGCCTCAGCAAACAAAAGCTTAATGTCAGGCATTTACACCAGATACTAGCATTTGAGACCTAAAACCTCAAGCTGTGGAGAGTTACTCAGATTGGATACAAATGTACTATCAACTTCAGTTTTGAAACTATATGAGTAGTTCTTTATCTCTTAATTTGGATCTGTTCTGCTATTCAATATCAAAAAAAAAAAAGAAAAAGAAAAAAAGAAAAACAAAACCTGATTATCTCAAAAAGACCAAGCTAAATTTATATGGAAGCAAAGGGAAACTCTCTATTAGTTTTATGGCAAAAAAAATATAGATAGATAGATAGATAGATAGATAGATAGATAGATAAACCTTAAACAGACTGAACAAAAAGAAAGGGGGAGAAAAGAGGGTATCACTCTATACTCTACAGGCATTAAGCAAATAATAAGGAAATCCAACAAACAATTCTAGATTCATAAATTTTATAATTTAGATGAAACAAAAAAATTCCTTGAAAAACACAAACTGACAAAGCTCATTCAAGATGAGATTACTCAGAGTCCTCTACCTATTAAAGAAATGATATTTAAATTTTTTTATATACAAAAAATAAAAGAAAACATAATTTGACTTCACCAAAATTAAACACTTTTATGTTTTCAAGGGCATCACCAAGAAAGTAAAAAGACAACACCAGCACACAGAATGCCAACCATTTATCTGAGAGAAGACCTGTATCTAGAATGTATTAAATTCCTACAACTCAATGATAAAATGATAAATAACCCAATTATAAGTGGACAAGGATCTCAACAGACATTTCTCCAAAGAAAACATATAAATGTCTGATAAACATATGAAAAGATGCTCAACATCATTAGCCAGTCAAGAATTAACTTTGCCTAAAGAAAAATTTGGCTGACCCCTAGGAGGTAGCCTCTAAACCTCTGGAATGTTCTGCCTGATAGAAGGGTCTTTGATTACTTGGGGTCATAGGTCAAGCCAGATAGTCTAGGCTAACTCTATGACTTACGGTGAGGGCCTTCTACCACATCAGGTGGTCTGGGCTAACAATGTGATTTTTGGTGGGAGTCTTGAGTCACATGGAATCATCCCCAACTCTAGAAGGGCTGGAGACGACATTAGCCCCACAGGGTTAAGCTGTGTCTACTCGGTCAATCTCCACTAAGAATTCTGGCTTGCGTAAGCATATTATAACATACTGTGGCTGGAAAAAATAAATGTTGTCCACACAACTCCACTGGGAGGGGATAGCTTGAAACTCTGCACGTCATCTCTCCTGACCCCTGCCCTATAAGCCTTTTCCACTGCTGAATTTAATCTATATCCTTTTGCTGTAATAAACCATAACTGTGACAATATTGCTGAGTTCTGTGAGTCCTTCTAGTGAACTATTAAATTTGAGTGTGGTCTGGAAGACATCTCAAACTCACAAAAGTCAGATTTTAAAAAATCCTATTTCTATATACTAGCAATGAAACATGGGAAATGGAAATTTTAAAAAATTAAAAGCATAAAAAACATAAAATACTTAGGGATAAATATAATATGTACTAGCTTTATACACTGAAAACAAAATACTAGTGAAAGAGATCAAAGAGGACCTAAATAAATGGAGAGACAAACCATGTTCATAGATCAGAAGACTCCATATTGTTAAGATGTCAATTCTACACAAACCAATCTACAGATTCACTGCAATTCCAATAAAAATTCCAGCATGGGGGCACGTGGGTGGCTCAGCTGGCTCAACATCCTGCTTTTGATTTTGGCTCAGGTTCTGATCTTACAGTTTCCTGAGTTCAGCCTCTGCACTGACAGCATGGAGCCTGCTTGGGATTCTCTCTCCCACTCTCAAAAATAAATAAACATTTTTTTAAATCCCAGCATGACTTTTTGTGAAACCTAACATACTATCTGATTTTCAGATATATACATAGAAATATATTACATTATACATTTATCATACATAGAAATACATTAGTCAAGACAGTGTGGTATTGGTGAAATGGTAGTCATAAAAAAATCAATGGAACAGATTGTAGAGTCCAGAAACAGACTCGCACATATGTTGATTTATTCTTTATAAATACACAAAGGCAATTCAAGGAGAAAGATAGCCTTTTCAACAGATGGTGCTGGAACAATTGGATATCTATATACAAAAAATAAAAATAAAAAAAGAACCTCGATTCATAAGTCATTCCCTATGCAAAAAATTAATTCATATAGACCATATACCTAAATCTAAGACTTAAAAGTATAAAACTTCTAAAACATAGGAGAAAATCTCACAGCTTTAGGTTTGGCAAAGCCTTCTGAGATGATACCAAAAACATGATCAATCAAAAAAATTGATTACTTAAACTTCATCAAAATCTAAAATTTCTGTTCTTCCAAAGATGCTCTTAAGAAAATGAAAAGACAAGCCCAGGACAAAATTATTTTCAAAATTCAATATTAATGAGTCAAACAACCCAATAAAGAAATGAGTCAAAGGTTTGCTAAACACCTAACTGAAGACACAGATATGATAAGTAAGTCTATAAAAATATTCTCAACATCATTATTCATTAGGGTAAATGCATATTAAATCTACAATGAGATATCACTACATACCTATTAAAAAGGCTAAACTTTAAAAACTAACAATTTCTTGTACTATTAAGCATGCTGAACTGGGACTGTCTTACATTGCTGGTGGGAATGCAAAATGGTATAGCCACTTTGGAAAATAAAATGAGTTTATTAGAAAGTTAAATGCACATTTACCATTCAACCCAGAAAATCTGCTTCTAAGTATTTAACCAAGTGAAATTACTCATTGGTACTTCAGACAAGAATATAGTCAGCACTTCAGCTAATATCTCTGGTCATTATATATAATCTCATTTGACTAAATAGTATCTTCCCAAATTACTTGAGGTGACGTAATTTTTTTCTTAGTTGGAAATAAACGTTACCCTCAGAAAGATTTAAAATTAAGCATAGAAATGTTGAAGAGAATCAACCACATAATATTAATGTTTTTGTATTAAATCTGCATATTTGATGCTTTATATACTTACAATGTTAAGAGTTTCACCTGTTAGAGAGCTAGCGGGTTACTTTAAAACATGTAATTGAGGGGCGCCTGGGTGGCGCAGTCGGTTAGGCGTCCGACTTCAGCCAGGTCACGATCTCGCGGTCCGTGAGTTCGAGCCCCGCGTCGGGCTCTGGGCTGTTGGCTCAGAGCCTGGAGCCTGTTTCCGATTCTGTGTCTCCCTCTCTCTCTGAC